ACAGTCCTCCTTGCACTAACATTGGCTGTACCAGACATAACAGTACAAAGTTCAGGTAGCTTGTTGAAGACTGTTCTGATAAGATTTTCTTTATCTTATCAAAAGTCTCCCAATGAGCTGGTGACTCCTGACTGCTTCTTGGTCTCTGGTTCCTTGGCTCAGTCTCTGTCTTCAGGCTGCATGAATCAGTTTGCAGTTCTCTGGCTACTGTTTTCTAATTATCTGCCTATTTTTTCCTCTGGTCATTTTTATCTGTAACTATGTTAGGAATGTTTTGGTTTACAAAACTCTGACTTGCCTTAATCCATCTCAGAATAAAACATTTCTCTCTCACATTTTCCTAGATCTGTCTCTAAATGTAGCCACAAAAATTTTGATTGCTGTGTGTACTTACCCTGGCCATTTTGAGTTCCCTGCCACCTCATTTTCTACGCACAAAATAATATTAAACTCATTTTCTGTTCCCCACTTACAACTTCTACATCCTCAAAATGATAATTGGATTTTAATTAGTAATTGCAGCTTCACAGGGACAGTCAGAGCTGTGGTCAGCACCAGTAGCCTGAAGCAGTGGGTTGTAAACTTGGCCCATGACATTTATTACATCTCTTAGGTATGAAAAAATGTTCATATCACAGTTTCAGACCATTACAGACAGTTTGTCCAGACTTAAGGGAGGCTGGTGGGTGCGTGTCAAATGCCATCCTGGGACTACTACAAAATAAAAATCATTTACATATGTTTAGTACCAGTTTTATTTCTCATGATGTGTGGCTAGTGGCTCATTTCTTCTGAAAGGCCTGTCTTTGGCCACTTACTTTCCAGCTGACCTTATAAGATTGCACCATGTGTCTGAAAAATCAATTTGAAAAGAAGTGAAATACACTTCTATTATATATTAACACGTGTCCTTGTAAAGAAAGGCCATGATCTGAGTATGTAAAAGCTAATAATTGACTAATTTGTGGTGCCATACTATTTGTTCTATTTATTTTCTTTGCAGAAAGCATGCAAACTCTTCACAGGGACATGAAAAAATCTGCAGAATACCCACACCAAGTTTAAATGGGCACATTTTAAATGTTGAGCAATGATTACCAGTTTATATCAGCAAGGCTGCAAAACTCTTCCAACAAAAGAAAAAAATTTAGATTTTATAGGCTCATAGTAGTATGTGAAAAATAGTTTTACTTTGGCTCATTGTAAGACTTAAAAAAATCAACAACTCCAGATCTAACGTGATAAAGGCACATGAAACAGCAGGTTTGTGGTTTTGTGTTACAAGTTCAGCACTTGACTTCAGGAAGTTCCTGAGGGCTCCATGTGGCATCCAGCATTTACTCAATGTGCCTGCACGCCACTGGAACACTGAAGCTCAGAGGTGACATTTGTCATGGAGCAGAAAATCCTTGTGGTCACTTGGGGAACAAAGAGGACAATGCATTCCTGTGTCAGCTGTGTGACAGAGGGGACATGGCCTGGAACTATCATGTCCAGTGGCAGCTGAGAACTGATTTGGCCTCCACCCTTGTTTGCCTTCCTTAACTTGTCTGCAGTCTTTTGTACTCCTTTTCCTCCAAGAAGAATTGCCCTGTGCCCTGGAAGTATTTCACTTCCACAGATTTTATACCACAGGACCATTTTTTCCCTAAGCTACTTCACTGTAGTAATCTTTCACAGAATCATTAGCATAGAATAGCCTGGGTTGGAAGGGACTTTAAAAATCACCCAGTTCCAGCCTCTCTGCCATGTGCAGGACACCTTCCACTAGACCAGGTTGCTCAGAGTTCCATCCAGCCTGGCCTTAAACACTTTCAGAGCTGGGATATCCAAAACTTCTCTGGGCAACCTGTTCCAGTGCCTCACTCCCCTCGTAATAAAGAATTTTCTTCAGTTTGAGGCCATTCCCTCTTGTTCTATCAGTACATGCCCTTGTAAATAGTCTCTCCATGTTTCTTGTGGGCTCCATTCAGGCGCTGGATGGCTGCAATTAGGTCACCTCAAAGTCTTCTCTTTTCCAGTCCAATTGGTATAATTTTGAGAATAATTTTGGGTTTCTATGCTCATGGTGGTGCCACATGTTCTTTGGCCTCACAGTACTTCCACATGATGCCAGAACCTCTGGGAAAGTCTCATAATGGTCAAAACTATCTCACAGTCTGTAGGGCTGAGGTCAAAAGGAGTCACTCTTGCCCTTTCTCAGTAAGTTTTGGAAGAACTCATCTTCTGGGCAAGGATATATATATTCTTGGACTACATCAGAGGGCTTGGAGCATTTGAATAGTTAACTTCTTTTCCCATTGTTGTAAGGGAATAATGGTCTTTCACCCAAATGAGTACATTCTTTAATTCAGTTTATAGCTCACAATGACTGTGAGAGATGAGCTAATCTGCGGTGCTTTCAATTCCAGCTTTGTAGCTTGAGAGTACCAAGATTTAAGGGTTATTTTTTTTTTGTCTCTGACTGAGTTAAGTTGGGGGTTTTATTTTAAAAACATAATGACAGGGCAGATCCAGCCCTGGTATCCAGCTGTGAATTGGACACTAATCTTTTGGTAGTCATACCTCATTTGGCCTAATTCTCAGATTAAAATTTACATTCTGGGTGGGAACATATTCCAATCCCCTGTTAATAACCCTGTTATCATATTTAATATAATCCCTTTTATTAATATATTGCCATTATCTTTTTTGCCCATTTTTCACTGAAAATCTATTCCAGAACTTACTTGCTCTTATACATAAGAAAATTCTTCCAATTCTAAATGTTTTCATTACAGGGGTTTTAAAAAAATATTTTTTTCTTACAGCAACTTTAAATTTTAGCTTAATTGATTTGGCTGAGAATACGCTCAGAGTCGGGCTAATGCTTTTTGAAAGAATTTATAAATCTGTAATTCCAGTGCTCTCCTATTTTCTTCAAGGAGAAAGTACATGTTTCCTCCTGCCCAGCACTCCTTTGATACTAAGAGCTATTTATTTGCTTAGAGCAGCTCTTCAGTTTTGGGAGTTTCTTTTAATTTTGCCTTTGCAGCTTGAAATATGTGGTCTCTCATAGCAGAAATTTAAGAAAAATTCAGCACATACTACCCAGGAGGAATGTTGCTACTAATTGGTTACCCAGAGGAAAAGTAATGATGCAGCTTTGCTGTGAAAATAATTAATGAGGGACATATATTTTATGGAGAAGAAAATTGTATCATTCACTCAACTTTACCATTGAAGCTGTAATTTTTGTGTGATTTGGTGATAAATATTTGTGTGACCTTTGATGTATACTTGTTGGGGTATTGGGATTCCTTCTCTTTTAGTGTTAATGAGCAGAGTGCACTAAAAATATTTTTCCTGAACTTGCCCTTAATTTATGGGACATCAGTGCTCTGGTGGGACTAAGCCTTTTGCTGTGGGATTACTGTCAGATTCTGCAGACATGAATGGCAAAAGTTGTTCCTTTATCTCCAAAAACCTTAAAATAAACTGAGTTTCCACTCCCAGGATTGGAAGTCTTGCTGATGAGTTGAAGGACAGCAAACCTCACAGAGCTGAAGAATAGCATAAATGTTTGCCCAAACACCAAAAAGTAAATTCTGATATTAACAGCCCAAGAGTGGCACTTGACTATTCCATTAAATCGACCACATTGTACCAAATATTTTGTATTATATTTTGGCAGTGAAATAATATTTGTTGAATATGGATCCTCAAGTCCTGATGAAAACAAAACTTCTGTTATGATAAGATTGCAGGATTAGCCTCAGCTTTAGTAATTAATGGCCTGCTTCCAGCAAATTTCTTATGGGATGCCTGAGACTGGTTTGAGATATATATGCCACATATGTTTAAGTCTGCATACCAGCAATTCTGCATCTTTAATATGGTATAAAATTAGACCTGGTGGGTTTTACATATGGGTGGTCCTCCTATATTCTTAATTAATTATACATAATTTAATTACTCTTGTAGTATATGCAGTCAAAATACAAATGTGTTACAATCCTGATTTGAAGTTCCCAGACACAAAAAGCTTGTCATTATAATCTTCTAGATATCAAATACCAGCTCAGATATTCATCATTCTGATAATTCTGAATAACTGATAATTTTATTAGTTCAGATAGTAAAATAATGCTCAGTAGAGCTTACTACAGTGCAATAAAAATATCTTCCACATGATCAGCCTCGTGCCATCAGAAGTAGTGTGGGTGGGCATTGGGAAATTTGACAGGAGGATGACTGCTCTCTCCCTTCTTTCCCCCAAGCTGTTGTGAGCCCAAAGCATCTTACCAAGACCCATGGAGTGCAGCACTGAGACTCTTGGAATCACTGAGCTCATGGTCAGCTCCCAGTGGAAATGGGTTTCTTGTGGACCACAGTAATGCTGGGCATAAAGAACATGTTTCACTCCGCTTAAGAGAGCCTCCCACATTTCCCACGCACATTTTTATGTATACCAGAAAATAAAATAAATTTGTGTTTAGTTAGAAGACCATAAAGTCAAGATTATACCCTTCTTGTCATCTGTGAAGCTTGCAGAGATGCTTACAGAAACAGAAATAAATTGCAACTCACCTGATACAGGACTTTACAATTTTTTCAATCATCCCCCTGCTCTTCACCCTCCTCCAGTACCTAAGTCTTGTGCCCTTCCTGCACACGATTCCTGATTTTATTCATCCAGCAGTAGCATTTTTCCACACTTTGTGGCAGACTTCCTTGGACTGTAGAAGTGGATATGATCTTGAGATCTGTTCTTTCCAAGCAGATCGTTGTATCCCATGCCTCATGATTCCAGCGGGCAATTTCACTGTATTGATGTTCACTTTGTTGAGCTTCTGACTGTGTCCTCATTCACTAAAACAAGAGATATTCCTGCTGGTTGCTTGTATTAGTTTGGCTCTCTAAGCTGATTGTTGAAGAAGGAGTAAAGACCATGTATAGAGAAGGCAATTTGACTTCAAATAACCTAAATTCAAACTGTTCTCTGCTCTCCCTGCAGAGTTGAGTACCCAGAGAGCTGAGTTGCTGCTTTCTGCTGGAAATTACTAAGTGGGGCCAAAATGTGGACCTATAAATTACTAATTACAAAGGTAAGAGCTACTTTATTTTTATTTTATCAAGGATATTCAGTAGAAAATACTGTCTTTGCATGGCCAGCATAACTTTGAGGATTCATGTTAACTACCTTGTGCCTTCATACCTATCTAGGAATATTACAACTATAACCTCTTCATTAGTAATAGAACACAATTAATTAATAATTTTGTTTGGTTTGTTGTCTGTCTTCAACACCTGGAAGTTCTCCTTGAGCCTCTTCTTTTAAGTCACTTTTTACCTTCATTGTATCTACTGAGCTTCCACATCTCTCTGATGTTACCTTGTAATTTTTCATTTAAAGACTCTAAAGTCCAGGTACTTTACAAAATAAGACATAATCAAAATTTTAGTTGAAAATAAAATAATAATCTTAATGAAGCAACACTGAATTACATTAACTACTTTTGGTAACTCTTTGGATTGATTGTGGGGACCACTTCAATATTCTAGATATAGAATTTAATATAGATATGACATTTCTAGATATTTGTTTGCTTCTAAAGCTCTTCTGATAAGATTTTAGACCCTCTTAGTAAGAAAAATGATAAAAATAAAATTATTTTGAGATATTTTGAAGTGAAAGTTCTTCCTGACATGAAATTATGTTATTATAAACCTTTCCTTACTGTAATTTTCACCATTTTCTAACACTGTTAGTCAGATTCTCCTGGCTTTAGAATCTGATTGAATGACATTTGTTAAATTTGCACTTGCTATGTTATATATATACTTATTTTGTAATTATATCAATGCTATGGTAATGTGCAATCTGCAGTCATTAACTGGATATACCCATCACCATTCATGTGTCAGAATGATTTGCCAATAATCATGACCCTTGGTACCTTCATCATTGCACATCTGAGATTCCTCCTTGTACAGCTCATTTTCTGCCAAAACAGGAGACGTATAGTGGGAACTGTGTTGGCCTCCTCCTATGGAAGTGGTCTGCTGACAGGCATTGAAAAAACTGAGGAACAAATGTAGTTTAGTTTTCAGAGAGCCCAGGCACGCAGGGAAGCCAGAATCTAACATTTCCATCCTCTTGGCACAGGGCTGAACTGCAGATCTCAGGTGGTACAGCAAGGCTTTTAGGAAAACTCTTACCTCTCAGAGCAGCCATGACCAGGCTTCCTACTGGCAGTGATCCCTGACTGGTGTTAATTCCTGAGCCATGCCTTGGCAGGGTCTTGGAGAGCTGCAGACAGCCTGAGCCAAAGCTCTGCAGGGACTGTGAACAGTTTAACAACCAGGACAGTGCCAGGACACTGCTCAGCCTGTGTTCTGATGCTGTGGTTTGCTGGTGGAGATGACAGCTCTGAGCCACCTTTCCTACATGTCACCTTTTGTCCTGGGGAGATGTCATCTTGGATCTGCATGAAATCACACTAAACACCTGCTCATCATGCTTGCCTGCACCCCTCACACATGGAGAAGCAGAAAAACAAATCCTGCAGCACCTCAATTACATAGAGTACATACCTGGGATCGAAAGAAAATGTTGGCAATGTTGCAAAAAAGCCTAGTTTAGAAAGACTGTGCTCTCAGTACAAGAGAAATACAATTTATTTATGAAAACAAGGAGGAGTCACCATTCGCCTCTCATGCTTTTTGGATGTTTGGTTCTTGTTGCACACATTGTGATATCCATGGGTCCTGGATACCAAGGTGTAGCCAGGCAGTTTCAGTGCATTCTGATCCTTTGGAAGCCATTGTGCAGAGGAGGTTTCATATCATTCTTCTCTTTCTTCTTGTTTTTTTTCAGTCCTCTGTCTCATCCATAGACTATCACCTTCTCATTGATTCTGCACATTCTAGGGCTCTCCTGTTATTAGTTACTACCAGGTGAGAGAGCATGTTTGGATTGTTTTACAATTGTTGAAATTTTGCCTTCTGTGTTCTGTTTGCCTGGTGTGTTCTGGGACACTGTGCCGCCAGTGCCTTGCAGCATAACAAATTTGAAGCTAAACATGCAAAATTTATTTTCTTTGAGATCTTACAGACCATCCTGGAATTGACTGCTTATGATTGCTTTGGAAACCTCACCGCTTTTTGCCTCTGCACCACCAAGCAGTGACAGACTGATGTTTTGGGGCAGTCTCACCCCCTTCATTCCAGAAGGTGTTCCTTCATTCCAGAAGTGCTGTTCCTGCCCACTGTCCTGTCTGAAGCCAAGCATACTCCTTGCCAAGGAATAAATTCTGATATTATCACACAGAGAAGGCTCACAGAAAGTGTGTTTGTAATTCTTCAGGTCTCTGAATTCTTCCCAGTTTACATGGAACATGGAAGTACTTTCAGATTTGTGCTGCTGAAAACACTTTTTGTTCTTATGCCCACACATACCTGATAGAACTATGTCTCTGCCTCCTTTAAACATTCTTTTAGCTAATTTAGTTCATTATGCATATTGTTGGAAAAGAAAATGAAAAGCAGACTCGTCTTGAATTCTATCTGTAATTCTCTGTGTTAATTTGCACAACTGACAAAAAACACTCAATATGGGAAATGAATCTTTTCTCACTGGTTTTGCATATAATATATTATATTAAATTTTGACTGAGGTTATCTGTCTAACTTGAAGGCCTACATATGCAAATCCTACATAAAGCTCCAATTTTGGCTAACAGCCAGAAATTCTGACTCACAATCAGTAGAAAACACAAAAGAAATTTTCCTGTATCAGTAAGGAGGAAATCGGCTACTTTTAAAAGTCTTTGTCATTTCTTCTATCACTCTAAAGTACTAAGAAAACTTGAGCATCATTCCAGTTAATGGAAATTTTTTTATATATAAAAACCAATATAAAAAAAATAATGTCTCATAAGGTACTTTGATCTTTGGAAGGCTCTCCTGGCTCTCAGAACCAACAGAGGTTGTGTGAACTTTGAAGAATCAGCCTCAAGATTTTTTTATCAAGCTGTTGTGGTTCAAACAAGAAAATGTGTTTTCCATATTTGTACCTTGTCGGGTCTCCCAGATGCTTTCTAGCAGAGAAGACAGAGAGTATTATTCTTATTTTACTCTTACAGTGTAGTGATACAAATGAGAAACAGAACTTACCTGTTGACACAGTCTATAGAACAGTGCTCATTTTGAATGATGACTTCCGAAACTTTTTGATACTCAGGATCAGTTGTCAAGATGGACAAGATCTGCAAGGGAAAAAGTAAGTAAATGCAAAAAACTGCCCCTTCCCTTGGCAGGTTGAGAGAAATCAGCAGGCCGATTAAATTAGAGAAACATCTTAGAAAGGTCCTATGAAACTGCTTCTCTCTCACTTCCTCTCCTCTGTGACGTGGTCTGGGTGAGAAGACATCCCAGTGACTCAGTGTATGAAGCAGTGCAGCAGCTCTGGAGGGAATGGCCAGCACCCAGCAGAAATTTTGGGTAGGGATCCTGGTGAAGTAGGGAGGGGGCTGCAGGGCAGACTGTGCTGCTGGGCTTCAGGTGACAAGAAAATCCATTGCAGTAACCACTTGCCTGCCAGAAGGTGTCTGACAGCCTGGAGAGGAAGCACAGCCATCTGTCCACACAACCCCTCTTTCAGCATAAATATTTGTCACTCTTTGCTACTGTTATGTTCCTGGAGGCTTCTGGGGACAAGAAACTGCTCTCATTAACCTCATTACCTCACCTTGCTTCAGCCACTCAGGCTTTCCTGGCAGACTTGCAATTTCTCCTGCAAATTTCCCCATGGAAAGGCAAATTTAATTGCAGTTTTGCTGCAAACAGTGCAATTTAGCTGCCTACAGGAATTTCCTCATATTGAGTCTATATTCTACTTGACTTGAAATTTGCACCCTGCAATGTTCTGAGTGTCAGCAGGTAGCAGGTGAGTGTGGGTATGGGCAGACAGATGTCAGGGCTGTGTCCTCTCTGGCCTCTACAGAAGACTTGTGCAGGGACTACTGTATCCCAATACTCATCAGGTTAATTAGATTGTACTGGTAATTAAGTTAAGGAGCACTGTGCAGCAGGGTCGAATTCAATCTAATAAATGTGTTGAACAGAAACTAAGCAATCGACTTCAAGTGTGCTCAAACAACTGAGTGGCAAACTGGAGAAGAGAGAAAGATGGAGAACAATATCAGAAGGATAAGAATGAGAGGTGAAATGTGAAAAGGAAGGGACAAGCAGAGGAGGAAGTGCAGAAACCAACCAGGACAAATATTAACATAAGAAGAGAATAAAGAGAAAAATAGCTATGATTAAGCATAGTTAATGCTGAGATACTGAATACCAGTAACAGCCAGACACGGTCTTGAGCTCCCAGATTTCAAAATGTCTTGATTTTTAAGAACTTGTCTCTAAATCCTGGAAACATTTTAAAAAGGTTTGAAAGTCCCAAATAAGAATATATGTATACATATACTTAGGAAATAATGTGGTTGACCTGAGAAATTACAGTATTTACCCTGATATGGAATACACACATTATTTATGGCAGGAAATGTAGTCACCCAAAATGAGACTTCTGCAGGGGTTTGTGACTAAAATATACCTACAGATTGCAGGGGTTTGTGTCTAAAATATACCTGCAGATTGCATGTGTGAAAAATCTACATTGAATACTCACAGTATAATTAATATCATCTGCATAGAAAGAATAATAGTTTTTTTCACAGATAGCTTTTATTTTCTCTAATGCAATATATATGATATTACCAACAACAAACTATAAATCATTACCAAAAAATGCTAATCTTAATAAAGATTTAAAACCCACCAACAACTCACATAGCTCTCCCCATTCACCACTTTTTTTTTAGATATGCTTTTTCAGTGAAATTTAAAGTCTTCAGAAAATCTCTATATATTGCATATGGAACCTCAGCACAAAAGTTTGCTGTTGACATATTATTTTCCTTACAGCAACTATAACTGATATAACCAAGGCTCAAAGCAAAGTTTTAGGGCTATTTCATAAACTTAGGAATGCACTCGGGAAAATTTATTATGGACAAATTGACTCAACCTGTATTTAAGGATTAAGTAGAGCAATCCTGTGGCAGGGTGCAGCCCAAAATGTGCTCCTTCTGCTGAGTTACAGGTAGGGCTGAGTTATAATGGGGAGCATTCAGGCAGTGTTTTGGAAGAGGCAAAGTGTGTTTGAAATGCTGTTCTGGTTTGCTCTGCTGAGGGGTCATGAAACCTGGAAGTATTTGGGTGATAAATGTGATGCTCCATCCCTGGAAGTGTCCACAGCCAGGTTGGATGGAGCTCTTGAGCAACCTGATCTAGTGGAATGTCCTTGCCCATGGGAATGGGGTTGGAACCAGATAATCTTTAAGGTCTCTTCCAACCCAAACAACTCTGTGATTCTGTGATAGTCTCCAAAGTGTTTTAGTACCCATTTGTCTGTGAAATTAGTAATTTAAATGCTGACATGCATCTGAAAACATGGTTGTTGGTAGTCAAATCTATCAAAATAACTTTAGATTTCATTAAAACTATTTACAATGTTGTTTGTTCATATGCTGGCTATATTTATCCATGAAAGATAAAAAGCAAAGAGGGATTAAAACATGGTGCCCTAATGTCTGAAATAATTGGTGATTATTTTATAGCAGGGTCTTATTTAACACTTGATTTTACAAGGAGTCAAACTCCTGAAGTCTAGCAGCTGTAGGAGGATTTAGGCTTTGTTTTGCTGGTTGTTGTATTTTTGTGGTTTGTTTTCTTTTTTGTTTGTTTGTTTGTTTGTTTTAACATGTCTCTAATCCTCAGAGCTGCAATGAAAAGTTTAAAAATACGACTGGAGAATCAAAGGTCATATTTGAGATCTTCAAGGGTCAAAGGAAAAAAAATAAGGATAACCCCTTATTGTGGTATTCTGAAAATTATAAACATGCTTAAGGCAATATCCTGACTGGGGGAGGTTGATTTTGATTTCTGGATTTTGTTTTAAGTTGTGGAGTTTGGTCATGCCGCCTTTATGTCACTTTATGAAACTTCTTTTACAATAACCACAATTATTCCTACAAATAATCTAAAAGAAGACATAATTTAGATTTAAAATACTAAATGCAGAAAATAACTTACAATATTGTGGGAAATAATTTTGCATAAGCAAGGAAAAGAAGTATCTATATGGTAAATTTTATTCCACCTGAATTAATTAATGAATTTAATTTAGTTAATTTAATGAAGAATGGCCAGTAGATCTGCGTGCTTACAGTACCAATTGCTAAAATCCTTCTAAAGAAATTATACTTTTTCTTCTCTGATTTTTAAATTTTCAAGACCACAGTAGCTAGAAAAACCTTGTGACAGATTTTTCATCAGCTTGCTTATTAGTAACTTTTTCATTTCTTTATTCCAGTCATTCCCATATCCCTTGGCAACAGCACTTTGTTGGCAGAGTTTATATAAATGCTGGGAGAAAGCAGGTGTTACAGACCCGTCCACATCCCTTCCTGATCTGGTGTCAGTGATGTTAACCCCTCTTTCATTTCTGGGTCTGGTTCCTTCCATGACATCCTGTAGAAACCTATAGGACAGTTGTCTGTTTCATTAGAGGGATCATATTTTTATTTAATTCTGTATGGTTTTAGAGAAGTGGCTACAGGCTTTACACCTGACCAAGCTTTGCACCTGTTAAATACAGAGACTTCCATAATGAGGGAAATAAATCTGACTTCTTGTATTTTTTGATGATAACCACAATAACCCTGTATTTTTTCAGAATATAAGTTTTTTTGAGGAAAACTCTTCTTCCTTCTCTCAATCGTTGTTTCATAGAATCCCCTAAGATTTGCTGGGAGTGATTACAGTGTCGGCTTTGTGAATGCACATCTTTGAACGCAGGGAAAATGTGAGTTTAAGCACTGTGATCAAAGCTCCGCGGCTGTATTAGGCTTGGCCTTATCCTCAAATTCAGGCACTGTAAAAAGACGCAGAGAAGGAGGAAAAAAAACCACAAACAGTCAAGGGAAGAAGAGGCACTTCTGAAACAAACCCTCATATTTTGATGCACCATGTATGCTTGATTAAACCACCTGCTGTCCTAAAGAAAAGACACCTCTCTGTCCTTGCTGTCCCAGACTCTCAGCCCTGGTGGCAGCAGCGGTGGCACTGCCGTGGGGCTGCTCTGGGGCAGCAGCACAGCCACGGGTGAAGCTTTGAAAAGTTGGAAGCTTTTCCTTCTCGGGGACCCGGTGACGCCAAATCCATTCGCCCGCGGGGGCCGAGCCGCCTCTTTCGCTCGGCTG